TTAGCTGTGTCTTCACCGCCAGTCTACTTCTTTCTGTTCCTTTACCTCCAACTATGTCCTGCCAGAATACATCTTAAGGTCAAATTTTACAGGAGGTACATGAGTGGGATCTTTCTGAGTCCTTGCATAGATGAGGGTATCTTCCAGTTTCCCTCGGCAGACGAATGGTAAATAGGTTGCATGTGGAAGTTTGAAGTCATATTTTTCCCTTAAAACTCTGAAGACCAGTATTTCCTAGTCCTTCAATATGGTAATGGGTGTTAGGTAAAAATTGGGCTTTGTGATCAAATAAGTTTTGGAAACCCTGGGTTATAGATAAGAAGTTTTTTACTTGCAGGGCATCTCAGAGCCCCAATATGTACTGTGAAGCTCCAAGAAGGGGACAGAAAGTGCAGTGTTTCTCAAATTTAATAGGCCATGGGACCCTTTTCAGTCAAGCATTTCAAAGAAACTGTATTCTGTAAACCAATGTCCTAAAATTTTCATTTCATTGTGATACAAAAGATCAAAGCAAGGCCGATCCCAGTAACTTTGGAGGGTCTTAAGGCATCTCTTCCTGACTGGTCACCCTAACTCCTAGATGCAGTATTCCCAAACCTTGTTGGGAATACAAATCAGAAATATCCTAAACTTCTTCTTCTGTCTTTCAAAAACCATCTCTTTTAGAGGAAGATTCTCCTATGATTACTCATTGGGTTCCCTTCTTTTTCAACATCTTACCCACAGATCTCAGAACATACTGTATTTGCTGTAAATTTATGCTAATAGTCCAGAAATTCAACAAGATGGTGTTTGGGATACAGCATATTTTCTGCCCTCGAGGAGTGAGAAGGGCCACAGAAGACAAAGGCAGTTACAGAAGGGAGCTCTGTTTCTTCTAGTACAAGAGCTTCTTCTCTGAGTTCTTAAGCTCAGGCCTCCAGCCAGGAACAAGACCGGGCAGCACCTCTCCTCTGCCTAGTCTGGGGGCCCAGGCCAGGGCTCAGCCAATGCAGTGCCCCGGTCTTTGCATGTGACGGCCACCCACACCAACAGCAAAGTCCACATACCAGCCTTCTCTGCAGTATGGCCGCCCACACCAAAAGGCATCACCCTGTGCCAGAGCTCTGCTTATTGTGGCTGCCCACTCTGGGAGGAGGCTGGAATATTTGTTCAACAATGTTCATTTTATTTGAGATCACCAAACCATAGGACTGAACCCTTGTCTATGACAATCTTCCCAAGACTAACACCCAAGCCAAGAAATAGCTGTAAAAAGAGAATTCTGAGTATGCTTTTCCTTTTTTGTTCTAACAAAGATTCAAACCAGTTTTAATACTTTCAAATGATGGAACTTCATTAAGAAGGTAATAGACAAGTGTGAAAGGCAAAAATTTAAAGCTAAGTGTTTCACCACCAACAGAATGCAGGCTGCAAAAGGAAAGATGGAATCACAGCCCTCCTCCAAGTTCTCCTAGATATATTAATATCTTTAATATAAAATCATCCCACTTTTATATTTTATTATTAACTCATGGCCCCTTGGTTCCTCAAAAGAGATTTGAAGCTAACAAACTTGCTGCTTCATGAATGGACTATCTTAAGAACTTTCTTTGCATTGGCAGATGTTGGGTTCCCAATTAGTTGGGTCCCCAATTAGAACCCCAATTAGGGGCTTAGGAGGAGACCACAGAGACCTCATGATCAGTGAATCAGACTCATACTTTCTGATGAACAACTTTAGCTCTATATTAATTTGGTTTCTGCTTCTCCTCCCCTTCTGAGCTGATCTGCTTTGCCATTACTCTCATAAGTTGACCCTATGTAGGGTCAATTATACCCTATGATACTGCTATGGATTGAATTGTGTTCCAAAAAAATATGTGTTGTAAATCTTAACCCATATACCTGTGGCTGTAATCCCATTTGGGGAACAGGGTTTTCTCCGTTATGTTAATTAGACCTTCTGTGTAGGGTGTGTTTTAAGCTAATCACTTTTGAGATACAAAAAGAGCAGATTAGGCACAGAAGCAAGCAAGCACAAATGGGGGAAACAGAGACACCACATGGACATCTCCAAGGAATGCCAAGAAGAACCCTACAGAAGCTGAGACAAGGATTTTCCCCCACAGCAAACAGAGAAAGCCTTCCCCTAGAGCCGGCGCCCTGAATTCTGACTTCAAACCTCCTAAACTGCGAGAAAATAATTTTCTGTTCTTTAAAACCATCCACTTGCGGTATTTCTGTTATAGCAGCACTAGATAACTAAGACAGATATATCACCTGAAAAGAGAATCTACTGAATATGCAATGTAGCCTCCTCCTCTGGGACATGCTGCTTCCTCTGCCTGCAACATTCCCTCCCTAACTGCTTTACTCTCTACACAGTACTTACTGCCATGGAAATTATCTCCCTTAATTTTTTTATTTTTTTCACCTGCTTGCTGTCTGTCATCTCCCAAAGGACTGTAAATTCCAAGAAGGCAAGGACTATGTCTGTCTTATTCACCACTGAGTCCTTAGTGCTCAGGACAATAACTGGCACAGAAAAGAGACTCAAAAATATCTGTTAAATACAGAATTTCAAATTCTCATGGAATTCAGACTTTCTGGAGCCACTAAGGCTGGATAAACCCTTGAAAGTATTACCCTGAGGAAATCTTTAACTCTTAGCTGAAACTATCCCCTGAATGCCTGCATTACACATTATACTCTTTTAAAGAATTATCTATATGTAATCAAATTGACAATAGCAATTCAAAAGGATAGATGAAAAGTTTAGGTGGGCAGTGAGTTTCTGTTATTGATGGTGAAATAGTTTGAAAAAGGTTGCCAACAAAGGTGACACAACTTAAAGAATGTAACCAATGTCACTGAATTGTACGTGTAGAAACTGTTGAAGTGGTATATGTTTTGTTGTGTATATTTTCACACACACACACACACACAAATAATAATAAAGGAAAAAAATCTGTTGAATGAATGAACAAGTTATCCCTTTATTTCTTACTTATCCTTCAAGAGTAAGTAGATTTTCCTCTAGAAAGCCATCTCGGACACCCCCACCATGACTGGTTCAGGCTGTCCCTTGTATGAGCTCACACAGCTGCCTCAACTATAGCACCTCGCACTGGGCTGTGACTACTGGTTTGCTTAGCTGCCTCTCCCACTGGACTATAAGCAACTTGAGGGCAGGGACTATATTATGTTCACTGGTATCTCTACAGTGTCTAAAACAAATCCTTTTCAAATGAACTTTATCCTCTCTTTTCTTCAATCCCTCCTCTTCTAAAATGTATTCCTTTGGTTAATAAAGCTATGTGTATATGTATGTATTTAGACTATGTCAGAATACATTATGTATAATGTATAACATCATATATCTAAAGAGAGCATCTACAGGGGAAAGGGAATTAGAAAAATGATAAATTGTTAAATAGAGCAAAGAAACACTTTAAGTCTTTTACTGGAAAATTCCAAGCAATGTAGACAATGGTTTGATGTACTACTCCACTCTTACATGTGAACTAGCTGAAGAATTACCTCAGTTTCCCTTTTCCTTTTGCATCCTATGTAAAAGTTATGACACATTCCAGAAAGGAATTCTCAAAATCATTCATCATCTTCATCTTCCCTGATAATGGCCACATAATTAATATACAAAACTAGAAGTTAGGGTAGCTGTGTTGGGGGGGGACAGAAGAGGGGAGAAATATATATTCCCTGGGGTCATCATCCCTGCCTCCAAAGAGATTATAAACTGCAAGAAGCTTGAGGGTAAGAAAAGTAGTGATTTCCTTTGTGCTCCCCTTATCCAGCCCCTCACACAGGGTCTCCCTTCCTCCAGCCCTTCACACAGGGTCTCCCCTCTCTGGCCCCTCACATGGGGTCTCTCTTGTACATGGTCCTAATCACTGCTGACTGAACATGTGTAGGACGGGGAAGGAGCATAGGTTTGGCAGTCAGCGTGACCTGGGCTGAATCTGGGCTCCTCCAACCTTAGCAGTGGAATTTTGGGCAAGTTACTTTGACACTCAGTTTCCTCACTGGAAAATGGGGCTTAAAAAACTAAACTACTCAGCACGTGCTGAAGACTAAATGGTATGAATTGCCCAGCACAGAGCCTGGCATGGGTAGGTGCTTAGTAAACATGAGTGCCCTCCCCCACTTCCTGGTTTCTGGGTTTGTGAAGCTAACTCTAACCTCATTGCCAGGAATTCAGATCTCTGCAACAAGACTCACCCCGCCTTTCTTCTTCCTCTACCCGTGTCTGGGTGCCAGGAAGAGTGAAGTGAGAGCACAGGACCTCCTGGTGCTCTTCTTCTGCGTCCTCTCCTGCAAATTCCAGCTCAGTTCTGTATTCCCAAAGCCCTTAGCTCAATGCTGGTCACACAGCAGCCTCCATCCCCTAGTAAGTACTGGGTAAATATAACTGGGATATGAATTCACAATCTCCTTTTCTTTAGTTCTACTTAACAATATAGAGTTTGGTGTGAGTGTTCATCACTGTATAAGAATTTTCCTAAATAACAGGTTTATATTTCAGTTACCATGCATTGAGTTTAAAATTCCACAAATAGAAAAGTATATGAAATTTCTTCTGTAAGTTCTAATAGCGGGTCAAAAGAAACACAAATAAATTCAATATCTGTATGTGTTGTAGCTAGATAGCCTAATCTCTCTAAGCTGATTCAAAGCCAGGTTTAACTCTGACTTGGCTGATTTCTGAAGAAAATGCCAAGAACACTTGGCAATGGGCTGAATTACATGTCATTTATGTTCCGTTATTTCATTAAACCCAACTTTACCAATGCTTTCATAAAGTAAACACCTACGGTGATCCTTCCAAATTTTGGCCGCAGAGATGCTTCTAGTTTCCACCTAATTTATTTTTATTGCCCTCTATTCATCAGATAAAATGAAGATTCTGAGGCCAAAGGGGAATTCCAGAGAAGGTAAGTCCTGAAAATCTTTCAAACATTTCAGAACGAACACTCCTCTCAGACAGTGAAAAAGGATATTTGTCGTCCTGGCTTGTCCCCAGACCTTCGATGCAGGGGGTGGAAGCGGTTCCTGGTGTGTCTCTCCACTAGCCCATGATGGCGGGTTCCTCGAATGTTATCAGCTTGATGAAATGACGGCTGCAGAGAGAAGGAAAGAAGAGTTGGCCTGGGACCATTCACCATCTTGGAAATTGCCACTCACCCTCAAGAACAATTGATAACAACAAATGAAAAGACTGATTTTGTAATTCTAATATTGTGCATTAGCATGTCTTGAGTTAGGGTAGAACATGGAGCTATTTCTATATAATCACAGAATTTAGTGTCTTAAAAATAAAGCTGTAAGAATGATATCGTAAACATTGTCAAACTTAGGAGGTGGAGAATCAGGGGACTATGGATTCATATACCATGGCCCAGAAACTAGGAAGTGCATTTGGAATATAAAAGACAGAAATAAACTGACAAGGCATGAGACACCTACAGATGGCAGACTATTTGCTCTGCACCCTGTCTTTTTAAAACTTTTTTTGAATTGACAACATCTAAAAATTCAGATTTGAGGCTTCTAGTGAAAAATTAGAACATTTTGGCCACACTGGTCCCACATTTCTACGTGGTAACAATGGGCTAAAACTGAGAGTGGTTGGTCCCTCTAAATGGGAGGCCCACTCTCCTGTTTTTAATCCTTACACCGGAACCACTTCATGGACTTTTTATGTGAGACATTTGAGTTTGCAACCTTTGACTTGTGGGAAAAAGGGATAATACTTACATACAAGTGGAAAATATGCAACTCATTATCCTCAAAACAGCACAAACGAAAGTATAAACAGATTTAAGATAAATTTATGGTCAATAAATCCAAAATTCTTTGTTAAGAGATGCTTCGGGTATATTGTTAACATTTTTGAGATTGGCATCTTATAAAGGGCAACATTTTTGGTTGTCAAAGACCAAATTCTAGGCTGGGCCAATAAATGTCACACAATGGGGCAAGTGGATGCAACATATGCAATAGATGTGTTTGTGAAATACATGAAAACAGATTTTTTTAATTTAGATAAATAGAATCATGTATAAGATAGCTAGCTTACTATGAAAGGACTCCTGTGATGGAACACGTTTTTATAGGGGAGATTCCTTTAGTTTAGAACTGAACCCTAATTTTTCTTTGTTAAACATATGGATTTTCACATATTGCATTTTGGAATTACTCCTGTTTCTCCTGAGTGGACCAATAAAACATGTCTAGGCTCAAGGATGCCCTTTATCATCACTCTTATTCAAGATTGTGCTGGAGGTCCTAGCCAGAGCAACTAGGCTAGAGAAAGAAATAAAGGGCATCCAAATTGGTAAGGAAGAAGTAAAAGTATCTCTATTTGCAGATGATATGATCTTATACACAGAAAACCTCAAAGAATCCAAAAGTAAACTACTGGAACTAACAGAAGATTCAGCAAAGTATCAGGATACAAGATAAGCATACAAAAATCAGTTGGATTCCTCTACACCAACAGAGAGAACCTCGAAGAGGAAAGCACCAAATCAATACCATTTACAATAGCCCCCAAGTAGACAAAATACTTAGGAATAAATCTAACCAGAGGCGTAAAAGACCTATACAATGAAAACTACAAGACACTACTGCAAGAAACCAAAAGAGACCTGCATAAGTGGAAAAACATACCTTGCTCATGGATAGGAAGACTCAACATTGTGAAAATGTCAATTCTGCCCAAAGCGATCTACAGATACAGTGCAATCCAGATCCAAATTCCAATGGCATTTTTTACTGAGATGGAGAAACAAGTCACCAACTTTGTATGGAAACAGAAGAGGGCCCGGATAAGTAAAGCATTACTCAAGAAGAAGCACAAAGTGGGAGGCCTCACACTACCAGATTTTAGAACCTATTATACCGCCACGATAGTCAAAACAACCTGGTACTGGTACAACAACAGACACACAGACCAATGAAACAGAATTAAGAATCCAGACATGAATTCATCCACCTACGAGCAGCTCATATTTGACAAAGGCCCAAAGTCTGTTAATTGGGGAAAAGACAGTGTCTTTAACAAACAGTGCAGCATGACTGGGTATCTATCTGCAAAAAAATGAAACAAGACTCATACCTCACACCATGTACAAAAACTAACTCATAATGGATCAAAGATCTAAATATAAAATCGAAAATGATAAAGATCATGGAAGAAAAAATAGGTACAACGCTAGGAGTCCTAATGCATGGCATAAACAGAATACAAAACATTACTAACAATGCACAAACACCAGAAGAGAAATTAGATAACTGGGAGCACCTAAAAATGAAACACTTATGCCCATCAAAAGACTTCACCAAAAGAGTAAAAAGATAACCTACAGACTGGGAAAAAATTTTTGGCTATGACAAATCCGATCGGCGTCTAATCTCTAAAATCTACAAGACACTGCAAAACCGCAACAACAAAAAGACAAACAACCCAGTTAAAAAATGGGCAAAGGATATGAAAAGGCACTTCACCAAAGGAGACATTTAGGCAGCTAACAGATACATGAGGAAATGCTCACGATCATTAGCCATTAGGGAAATGCAAATCAAAACTACAGTGAGATACCACCTCACTCCAACAAGGTTAGCATTAATCCAAAACACACAAAATAATAAATGTTGGAGAGGTTGTGGAGAAATGGGGACACTTACACACTGTTGGTGGGAATGTAAAATGGTACAACCACTTTGGAAATCGATTTGGCGCTTCCTTAAAAAGCTAGAAATAGAAGTACCATACGATCCAGCAATCCCACTCTATAGAATATATCCTAAAGAAATAAGAGCCGTCACACGAACAGATATATGCACACCCATGTTCACTGCAGCACTGCTCACAATAGCAAAAAGATGGAAGCAACCTAGATGCCCATCAACGGATGAATGGATAAACAAATTATGGTACATTCACACAACGGAATACTACGCAATGATAAAAGAACAACGATGAATCCATGAAACATCTTATAACATGGAGGAATCTGGAAGGCATTATGCTGAGTGAATTCAGTCAGTCGCAAAAGGTCAAAAATTGTATAAGACCACTATTATAAGAACTCAAGAAAAGGTTTAAACATAGAAAAAAACATTCTTTGATGGTTACGAGGTGGGGCAGGAGGGAGAAGGGTATTCACTTACTAGATAGTAGACAAGAATTATCTTAGGTGAAGGGAAGGGCAACACACACTACAGGGGAAGTCAGCACAACTGGACTAAACCAAAAGCTAAGAAGTTTCCTGAATACAACCAAACACTTCGAGGGACAGAGTAGCAGGGGCGGGGGTCTGGGGACCATAGTTTCCGGGGACACTAGGTCAACTGGCATAACAAAGTTTATTAAGAAATGTTCTGCATCCCACTTTGGTGAGTGGCGTCTGGGGTCTTAAAAGCTAGCGAGCAGCCATCTAAGATGCATCAATTGGTCCCAACCTACCTGGAGTAAAGGAGAATGAAGAACACCAAAGACACAAAGAAAATATTAGCCCAAGAGACAGAAAGGGCCACATAAACTAAAGACTCCATCAGCCTGAGACCAGAAGAACTAGATGGTGCCCAGCTACCACCAGTGACCACCCTGACAGAGAACACAACAGAGAGTCCCTGATGAAGCAGGAGAAAAGTGGGGTGCAGAACTCAAATTCTAGTAAAAAGACCAGACTTACTGATTTGACTGAGACAGGAAGGACCCTGGAAGACATGGCCCCGGTCTCTCTGTTGGCCCAGAGCTGAAACCATTCCTGAGGCCAACTCTTCAGACAAAGATTAGACTGGACTATGGGACGTAAAGTGATACTCATAAGGAGTGTGCTTCTTAGCTCAAGTAGATACATGAGACTAAATGGGCAGCTCCTGTCTGGAGGCAAGATGAGAAAGCAGAGAGGGTCAGGAGCTGGTTGAATGGACACAGGAAATCTGGGGTGGAAAGGAGGAGTGTGCTGGCACAATATAGGGAGAGTAACTAGGATCACACAGCAATGTGTGTATAAATTTTTTTTTATGACAAACTGACTTGAATTGTAAACTCACTTAAAGCACACTTAAAAAAAAAATGTCTGGGCTAACTTTGCTTAATGATCCCAATGTATTTTAACAATTCAAATGTATTAACTCCTAAAAAAACAGTTCTCTGTGAGAAACAACTTCTGGGCCTGAAATAAAAATATTCATTGTTATAGGTAAGCTGGATGTTGATTTCAGATAATATAGGATACTGTTCTAGGAATATAATAAATTGAAATACTTTTGTTAATCTTCAAGATGCATCCCTGCAACACACTTTATTACACAGAAACTTAACCACTATCCAAATAGAAATAAGAGGCAGGTGGCTTCATTCCAGGATAAAAGAAAAGGGAGAATTCTCTGTTAATATAATTATATATTCAGTACCAAAAAAAACTCCAGCTGCTGTCGAGTTGCCTTTGACTCATGCAACCTCAACTCATATGACCCCAATTTACGGTGCCTCCATGTGTGTCCCCATAAGTTGAACTGCGTTCCATTAGGTTTTCAATGACTGAGTTTTTGGAAGTAGATTGCCAGGGCTTTCTTCTGAGGTGCCTGTGGGTAGACCTGAACCGCTAACATTTCAGTGAGCAGCTGACCAGATTAACCGTTTGCAAGAGCCATATTCACTACAGTAATGTTAAATGTACTGGAAAACATAAAATTTTCATCCAGTCTTAGAGCACAGCTACCATCAGACTGGGATCCCAGGGGCCAGTCTACGGAGATGGGGCTGAGGGTCTTTAGGAGGAATTCCAAAAAGCAGAAAACCCTTGAAATGTCTTCTAGACCTCCAATTATACATCTATTGGGTACTTACACTGGTGGTATAGTGGTTAAGAGCTACAGCTGCTAATCAAAGGGTTGGCAGTTCGAATCCACCAGGCACTCCCTGGAAACCCTATGAGGGCAGTTCTACTCTGTCCTATAGGGTCGCTATGAGTTGGAATCAACTCGATGGCAACAGGTTTGGTTTTCCGGTTTACACGTGCCTCTTCTGCATTCACCCTTGCTGGCCCAGATCCTGTATTACCACTTGGACTACGTTTTTTAGGGGACAGCCTCTGTTTAAATATGA